ATTTGCATTGTCGTCTTCCGAATACATGTGTTCACCCTCACTTATGCCTCGGGACGCTACAAGATGTAGGCAGAGGTTACATAGCCCGGTGTATCGCCTCGATACTCCCTCGTGTTAGAAGGAGGCATTACGCTAGGAAGAATGTATGTAATTGAAAAAAGAGGGCAATTGAACTTTGGCTTAATCCGAGGGCCAGCTCACCGCCAGTCAAAAGTATTATCCTGACCAGTGTAAGGCCTCTCAAATACGACTTTTTAGAAGAACTCTAATGGAAGAATCAAACTGCACCTTTGATGCAAAGCGTCTTCATCCTTATACGAGCCTTTCCTTGTAATTTATTAGTAAGATATTGAATGAGACGGAGTTTTGCAAGTAAAGGTGGTCGCCTCACTATCTAACCAGGCTTGAGTCGCCGGGTCCAGATGGTTTGCCTCACAGTCTGCAAACAGCTGAAGCAATGTGAGCGAGAAAATAACACCACTTTGAGTCACCTTTTTTGACCCCACTGACAGTGCACTGCAACCCCAACTCTCTTTATTGTATGGTAGAGCAAATATTGTCAATAAAAATTGAATGATACCCCATTAGGTCACAAAAGACCAATACACAAAACTAGGTAATGAAATCTCGGACTGTGACTGAGATTAGCCCCAAATGGATTCCAATTTATTCACTTTTTTCCCACACTTGAGGTCTGGGCCTCGTTTAATGCGTAAGCGCGACAAAATACCGACGTGGTGTGAGCAATGCTTTGTGAGGCACTTTGAAGCAGTTGACTTCCTTGTCACTCCCTATGGTCCCTAGTACAACCTCTCTAATTTTTTGATGATTTAAACGATCACGCAATGTGAAGTATAGCACAGAGTGGCAAATGTACTAATGGAAAATGTATGTGAAAGCGGCAGTTTAGTGTCGATTAAAGTCTACTGTCGCTAAGAGAAGTTATTCCACTTGAAGTTATTTAATATCGTAATTATGTGATAATCGGGATGTCTGGTGATCACTTTGACATTCGTTGTGCGAGCTATTGCGTAGACCGACCTTTAGGCAATGCCAAGTCCCTATCCCTTCTTCTTTCAATGGGATACATGCATTTTACCGAACGTGGTGCCCTTTCCTACCTGGTGGAAGCCTCCGAGGACCACACTTGTGAATAATAATGCAGATTTAAATGACTTTGATGTGCTTAAGCTGCTACACAAACGTACTTACGGTGAGCCTCTGCCTGTTTGGTGATCGTTAAAATACGAATGCATGAAATTATCTAAGTCGTAGAAGCTAGCGCCAACCTTTGCTGGAAACAATAAACCTCGGACTTCAAGAGAGGGTTAGGTGCAGATGATTTATTTGAGATTGAGATCGGGATGCAGATGAGTCGACAAGGAGATGTCAACTGGAGGGAGACTCTTCACCGCCTTCGCGCACGTAATTTGTATTCCCAATTGGTCCCCGCCTTTCTCCTATAAAGGCCCACTTAAACAAACTAGTGTATATTACACAAACGATTAGTAAGTTACGCGAGAAATTCACACGACTTTCGAGGCTTCCCAAAATTAGAAGACGACATTTTGCATGCATGGCTCTGGATGGGAAAAAGGAATTAGCCCCGGTCAGCCTAGGAGTACAAGGGCCGGACGAATGCTGAAGTAACCGCCAGACATAAACAGAGTATTGCACATACAATGGGGTATGTTATACTAAGTCCATTGAATTGGTCCAAAAAGGCAAGTAGCCTTTAATGTCAAGTTGGTATTGGGCCTTGGCATGGACCAAAGCAAGACGAATGCCAAAGCACCTGCTAATTATGCAGCTGATCACATAATCAACAATTTATAATTGTTAAAAGTACGATTACGATTTACGAACATGGTAGTATTCATCTTGCTCCCAAGGCTTTCCATCATGGAAGGATAAGTCTCAAGAGCGAAACAACAGCATTAGGTCGGAGTTAGATAAGGCCTGACAATTTTTGGTGTGAGGCAAAAAACATCCTGTGAAAGAATTATCAACGTGTTTCATATAATCGAATGGATTGTAGTAGAGAGAAATGCAAATTAAAAGGACTAACGATTTCTTTACAATATAATATTCATCGCCTAAAAAGAAGCAAAGTTACATTGAGTTAATAGAACTTGTATTTATAGCCATGCTTAGTGGAATAAAGCATACTTATGCGCACATTTAAATTTATAACACTTCTTTTGCATAGTTATAATCGATAACTGAGTATTATTACAATGCTGACGCATTTATACCAACAATTCTTTATAGGAGTACTTAAACCTGCAAATCGGTCATGCTTCCTAATTCTCTAAAGTAGTTTTGAAATAGAGTTCCATCTCAGCCTGTGGTCTGCGAACTTATCTGCTCACACCTCTCGTGTAGCTGAGGATGCTCTCGAAGTTAACGCGCCCATTAAGGAGCAAAAAGCTCTTTTCGGCTGCCTATGACCTAACATTTAGCCGGACAATGTTCGATAATCGATATATATCAAATACAAGATTGTTGAATCTTGCTCTCACGAGGGGACAGGTTGGTAAATTTGATCTCTGATTTAATCGAAAACTATTTTACTAATTGTTGTTGACTTTGGTAGGTGTCAAATGGCTGCTTTTGTCGTTTTGCTTCCGTCAATAGCGGGAAACCGCCCGAAGCTCCTCCAGGGTCGGATAGTGGCGCAAGTCCTACTGGCAACAACCCGTCCGATATGCCCTCACAGCATCCGTTTGCCCTTTCCACTCAGAACATTCCGGAGATTTTTCCGTGTGTGCCCATTATTCCGATTGCGGGACATCCTCTTTTTCCCAAGTTTGTAAAAATGTTGGAGATCACAGATCAGTCTTTGATGGAACTGATTCGGCGCAAGATGAAACTTAACCTACCTTATGCCGGTGTATTTCTAAAGAAGAATCCGAACGAGTTAGTCAGCATACTACTTTTTGGCGCTTCGTCCCTCTGCTATCTATTTGTTGGATAGTGATACCCATTTTACTGATGAATTGTAGCACTTCTGATGTAGTCAAAAGTTTGGACGAGCTCTATCGGGTTGGTACATTTGTTCAGATAGCAGAATGGGACGATATGGGTATGAAGATTCGTATGCTCGTTATTGGTCATCGAAGGTATGCGTAATTGTAGCTGTTTGTTCTCATTTATCGTCTTGTTCTTAAATCCACATCCCTGAAATTTATAGGATTCAAATTGTCAAAGCTGTTCCTGATATCGCCGATGATGCTGATGCTGATTCGACGTTAAATGATGAAAAATCTAGTAAGTTAAATGCTCGTATATATTGTCATTTACATTATTTGAACTCATCAAAGTAATTGAATGGGCTTTAGGAACACTGGTATCTTTGTTTCATTTTTTTGCCTCTTGTGTGGAGTGACTGGCTAGTTAATTTCGTCTGAGTGAGAAATTGCGAAAACTTGCGATCCTTTTATATGGGCTGCAAAAACTCCATTCGTGCATTCTTTAGCGTTGTCAGCTTAAGCGTGTTTTTGTTTCTTTCATTCGTATCAGGTACGTTATGATGTCCTAACCTGTCGCGGCATATCGGTAGTTTCAATTTGACCCTCCAGCGCAAAAGGCTGTATTACAATTCGACCATGCGTGACGCAGACTTACTCAAAAGCGTGCCGTGTGCTTAATCGATGCTTCTCATGGCATCAGATTTTACTCAAAATTACTCATCTCATTGCGATCAATTAGTGGACGACTTAATTTCGTGAAGTTTGGGAACCTTCCCGTAGTTTTTAATTATTACAGCTTTGTCACCTATTTGGCTGGCTTCTCAATTTAGTAATTGGTAAGAGCCACGAGCGCTGCGCTGATCTCAGCATTTTGCAAAGTTCACTACCTGACATTTATCAAATTTATTGTTGTTAGTCCAATCTAATGGCCAACTTCTCATTTGTGCCCTCACTGTGTGCCGCGGATTGATTAACAGTTTGTGTTCGTTTGGGTAAGTTTTTCAGTAGGCACATGTTTCGGGGCATTTAGTAGTCTTAATTCGAAGGGCAATCGGATGAGCGGAAGCACTTCATGGATTGGTGTGGGATGAAAGCAGAACGTGTAATAAGTTGGGTAGGGTTCCACGTTCCTCCCTTTTTGTTGGAATTTCCTTTATCAGCTAATCGTATTGAATGGAACGCGTAACAGAGATTTGAATTTGACTGCATATACCCTTCTCATTTTTTAGTCTCCTTTAGCTGCGTTCGGCTCTGTGAATCTTTTCCAGTTTCGTGAAACTTAAAGATACGTGTTCAGATTTTATGATCGAAATTCGTGTGGTTGTGGGTCCTTATTGCACCGACTTTGATTCAAGATTTAAAATTGAGGTGGGTTATAGGTAAAACTAGAACAGAGCGTGTATTGGGAGTTTCAACAAATCCTGATGATCACGGAAGGTCTCATATGGAGATTGGAATCCGTTATTGTTATCTTCTTGTTCGGTTATAGAACTATTTGTGATGCTTTCATCATTGTTTCGTCTAGGTCCCTTTTTTAAGCCCTTGTTTGACGGTCATAGCAGCTACCAACTCCAAATATCTGTAATCCTAATCCTCCAAACTGTCTTTTACTCATCCAGGAAATAAACGCAATGGGCTACTACGCCGTGTTCGCAAGGCAGCGCATCTGGCTGGTCTGCCTACCGAAGAGATTCCAGTCTTGAAAGAGTTGAAGGAGGAGGCGGCGTCTGCTGATTCAACAGCTTCGCCTCCATCATCACCTGAAGAAGGGAACCAGGATGACGGAAGCCAAAAGCAAACGTCATCGTCATCGTCACCAGAAAACCTTCTCATGGTGGAGACTATCAACGTGTACAATGAGCCATTCGAAAATACTCAGGAAATGAAGGCGTTGAGCGCAGAGATTGTTAAAACAATTCGGGACATTATCAACCTCAATCCGATCTACCGGTGAGTAGCATATGGGATTTTTTTAGATCTGACGTTAAGGTGATGCTTAGTACCTTTACATGCCTTTCTTTTACTTCAGAGAGAATGTATTGGCGATGCTTCAAGTTGGTCAACGTGTGGTGGATAACCCCGTCTACCTTAGTGATCTTGGTAGGCATTCCACTGAAATTTTTAATAGGTGGCATTTTTGAGGACGTTTGTTTATGCTAATACTGGCCGATAAATCCTCTCCTCTTTGTGGTTTTGGCAGGTATCGCACTGAAATCATGATCGAGAAGTAGTAGGGGAGATGTAGATTTCTTTGTTTTTATGAGGGTGCTCCACATCTGTGAGAAGATTCTCGTGATCCTCGTTGGAGAAATTACAGTTGTAGTAGCAAACTGCATTTGAGTGCTACGCTTCCGGGCCCCTATTCTGCAGTCGCACTGATTAACTGTTATTTGGAATATTGCCGAATCAACTTCCCACAGAGTTTCGGTTTCTTCAAATTAAGCTAACATTGACTGTCACCAAAAGTTGTGTATTTGACAGTTCTGCATTGGCGTCTACCTTTTACGGCTTGGAACGCTCAGCTCGTAGAGGAGTCGACTGAAGTGGTTATTGGACGATCGCCTTTGTAATAAATATGGAGCGAAAGTTGACGTATCGGAAGATTATATTTTTCTGCAAATTTGTCTTCATGGGTTATGTTTATGCGCTTGACACCTGATAATTACATTAAAATAATACCTTAGATGTGCATTTTAATACCTTTTTGTTTGAAGGAGTTGTGAGGCGTGATTGTTGGTTTGGTACCACTTAAACCACTTGTTCATAACTCCGTTTCATTTTCCACTGCCTATCTTAATGGCTTAGGGTACCTTTAAATTCAGAGCGGTATAACGAGTTTGGTTTTATTATCTAAATTGGAGATGCCAGTATTTGTTTGCTCCAATAAAAACCTAATAATACTATAATTCCGTGCATTATGAGTTGAGCATTGACTTGTCTGCGCAACTCCTAGCCCTCACTGAAGTGCTACCTCTGCCTTTCAGGGGCAGCAATAACGGCAGCTGCAGAGCCGGGTGAACTACAAGCTGTGCTAGAAGAGACTCGGATTCCGGAGCGCCTTAGGTTAGCCCTGAATTTGGTGAAAAAGGAACTGGAGCTGGGTCGTCTCCAACAGCAGATTGGCCAGGAGGTGGAGGAGAAGGTGAAAGCTCAACATCGCAAGTACATGTTGATGGAACAATTGAGAGTGATTAAGAGAGAACTGGGTCTGGAAAAGGATGACAAAGAGGCCATTGCGGAGAAGTTTAGATCTCGACTCTCGGTGAGGAAAATAGTGTATGAATTGCAACATCTTTCCACAAAATTTTGCGTGTACATATTGCTCCGTTGTTGTTGTTGTTGTAGGGATTAACTGTTCCGCAAGCGGTGGGCGAAGTTATTGAGGAGGAGCTGAACAAACTGAGCGTTTTGGATAATCACTCTTCTGAATTCAAGTAATTTTTGTAGCCCTCACACTAGCTGATCCAGGAGCTGGATCACCAATTTTCAATCTGCCCTTTTTTAGCGTCACACGCAATTATCTGGACTGGCTTACAAATTTGCCCTGGGGCCTAACAAGCGAGGAGAACCTGGATTTGGCTCGTGCTCGTGTTGTTTTGGACGAGGATCACTATGGATTGGACGATGTCAAGAAACGCATTCTTGTAAGTTTATGAAGTTGCCTAACCTCAGTATCATTATATTTGTGGTAGGTGTTCTGCATCACTTTTTAGTAATTGTGCTTCAAATATACTCATTTTAGTTGACTGACATTCTTGGTGTGCAATTTCTCCTTCCAATACTTTGAGATGAGGGCTAATTAGTGATGGTTAGAGCCTTGCTGTGGTTGATTAATCTCGGATCCTCTAATGTCGAAAGTGCTTTCCGTCCAAATTTAGGTCGTTGAAATGACGATGATAGTGTTGGTGGCGGTGGTGGTGGTGGAGGGGGGGAAAGGTTGGGTTTCACCTTTTACTCATTGTTGGTGGAATTAACCTCTACACCCCCCATTGATGCTCGAATTTGCAACGCTTTTCTCTTTCCGTCAAACATCTCAACTGGGAATGACTGGACTTGGCACTGGTGGGGGACTTGTCCGCTTTGCTCAAGTTCTTTCCCACACAAATACTTTTTACTTTTTGAGAGTGACGATGACAAGCCTTTGGCTCTCCACACCTTGCTTCTCACTGCTTAATTTTAAACTTTGTCACTGTCGTAGGAATTTATCGCTGTGAGCCAACTGAAGGGGAGTACGCAGGGCAAGATTATCTGTTTCCATGGTCCGCCGGGAACAGGCAAAACCAGTATTGCTCGGTCAATAGCCCGAGCTCTTAACAGAAAGGTCAGTGCTTGTAACCATTGTCCGTTATGCTCGGTTGTATCTGATGTACCTCTCTTCCCATCCGCTTTGGCTTTGACTTTCTTCCCTCCTTGTATGCTTTTCCATGCCTTTGGTATTCTTGATGTTAGCGCTTGTGTATATTTTAAAAGCTCCGCAGTTGAGTTGGAAAAACCTCTCAGCAATTTGACATGCTCTACCTACTGGTGTCTTTACTCGCCTATTTCTTCAGTATTTCCGCTTCTCCGTTGGCGGCATGTCGGATGTTTCCGAAATCAAGGGGCATCGACGAACCTACGTGGGTGCGATGCCTGGCAAGATCATCCAGTGTTTGAAGAAAACACGAACTGAAAATCCACTCATTTTGATTGATGAAGTAAGTTATGGTTTGCGGTGCTTAGTTAAATAACATGTTCCTTCCTACCACTTCGGTACTCCTTGAGTGTGCTGCCAAACTAGAAAACTACTTGCCTACTTTATTTGCCGTACTCTCTCCTTTTGTTTTTTGTGTTGTAATTTCCATGCTGAATACGAGTCGCTTGGCGCTTTCCCGATTGGATTTGATAATTGAGTGTTTCCGTATTTCTGAGACTTGAAGTCACTGGTGTTGTTCCCGCAGATCGAGCTTGTTTGTGGAAACAGGAGATGCAGATATTAATTAGTAGAACCGCCTTAATTTCACTTTGCGACTTTTGAATGGTGGGCTTAAAGTTAAGTGGTTGAGTCTGTGTGGCATCAGGTTTTTTGTCTCACCTACTCGTAGTTAATGTGCCATTATCCTTCAGCGCCTTTCCTTTCCCCTTCCTTCCTCGTAGATTGACAAACTCGGTCGCGGTTGGCAGGGCGATCCCGCCTCCGCGCTGTTAGAACTGTTGGATCCTGAACAGAACGTCAACTTCCTTGACCACTACTTGGATGTGACAGTCGATTTGAGCCGCGTCCTCTTCATCACGACAGCCAATCAAGTGGAGGCGATCGCAGAACCCTTACGAGATCGAATGGAGCTTATTGAGGTGGCCGGTTATGTGGCCGAGGAGAAGATGGCCATAGCCCAGGTATTTTAAAAAGAACTTTTCCCCCATTCGGGGTGGTCAGTGGCATAATTTCGATGCCTTTCTATCTCAGCAATACTTACTCCCGCAAGCTGCCAAGTTATCGGGACTGTCCACTGAACAGGTGGAAATAACAGATGGAGCGTTGCAGCGTCTTATTAAACAATATTGTCGGGAATCTGGCGTACGAAATCTGCAAAAACACATTGAAAAGGTGAGTCAGCCGGGCGTAGGCATTCTCACTATTTGTGTACAGAGTCACTATTATCACAATTATATTAGTGTTTTATGGAAATTTGGAGGGATTAGAATGTTCTTGTCACTCGGTTCGGTTACCTTCGTTCCTTGCAAGTTCAACGGTAACATTTTTCTACATCTCAGAGTTCATTCAGACGTAAAGTCCCGTTCAAGAAAGGGTTTCATTGGGTCTTCCTATTCCTGCCCCATGTTTAGGTGCTTCGCAAAGCCGCCTACAAAATTGTCAACGGTGAAACTGGGCTGCCACTGAAAGTGGACGAAGACAACCTTCACTCTTTCGTGGGTCAACCTATTTGGATAACGGATCGACTTTACCCACCTGTAACACCACCTGGGGTTGTTATGGGTCTTGCGTGGACTGCTATGGGCGGCTCTGTGCTCTTTATCGAATGTACCAACAAGGAACCACTATCGAATAACTTGGACAATGCCGATAGCAAAAAGGATAATGACGCGAAAGGTGTCGAGAGCATTTTGCTCATGTTTGGGCAGTCAATACTTTTATAGACTTTAAAAGTTGCTTCTTTTGGTCCAAAGCCGAGGGTAATGGTATCATTGTTCAAGTAGCAAGACTTCTCTCTCCACATTGATAGGAAGTCTTCAACTCACTGGTCATCTTGGTGATGTAATGAAGGAATCGGTTGCGATCGCGCACACCTTTGCTGGCAATTTTGTGGTATCGGACGAAACACTTCGTCAGAGATTGCAGAATGCCACAACCACAACGTCCCTTGCTCACAGATTCCTTCGAGATGCAAAAATTCACCTCCACGTACCTCAAGGAGCCACTCCCAAGGTTAGTTTCCACGTTCTGTCCTCTACGTTGTCCTTTCTGGAACGGTCCAAATTGTTATTAACAGTGATCCGTACGTAGCTGGCTTGGACCATTTGGATGAATGTGTTTTTCGTCCTATTTCATTGTTTTTCTTCAAGTCGCCATTGTCAACAACAGCCTACCAAGCCTTTGGCCGTCTTCTAGTCGATTTGCATGGTGAGAGATGGGACAGCTTTGTTTATCAGAAGAGGGATTTGCGAATCAAGCCATTATTAACCACGATATAGTTTGGCTCTCGGCATTACTGTTGTGCGAAGACTGAATCACTGTCTCCTGTCCTTGCTTGAATTGAGTGCATCACTACCTTAGCTTTTATGCCTCTTCCCACTTCTACCATTTGTTCAAATGCATTTCACTGCCTTCGAAGTAGACCTAAAACCTACTGATGTGTATCGGCTTACCTCTGTACGTCTGTTTAACTACGTAGGACGGTCCTTCAGCTGGCATCACTATGGTTACAGCTCTACTCAGTCTGGCTTGTAACCTTCCCGTGCGCCCTGATTTGGCAATGACCGGTGAAATCAGTCTCACCGGAAAAGTTCTCCCGGTTGGTGGAATCAAAGAGAAGGTCATTGCGGTGAGTTTCTCAACCTTTTTGACTGCTTCCCTAACCCACTTTTTGGGGAAGTCAAAATCCAATATGTGAGAAGAAGGACTTATTGGAATGAGTCCACTACATTCTGCTTTGCTTTCACTTGTCTTAGGCCAAGCGTGTCGGTGTGAAGACGGTGATCCTACCAGAGATGAATAGGAAGGACTATGAAGACTTGGCTGACTTTATTAAGGCTGACCTCGCAGTACACTTTGTGAGCCACTACTCCGAGGTCTTTCCCATCGCCTTTCCTGCACAGTGATGCGCCCTCGATGTTTCTTTCTGCACTTCTTGTACAATCAAACCGCATTGCATTCAATGATAGCTGCCTTTTATAGTTAGTAAACTTCTTGCCTCAGTAGGGCTAAATATTTTGATTCATGGTACAAATTGAGACTGCCTTTAACGGCAGACTTGTGCATTTGAAGTGTGAACGATTGAAGAATTGTAGAAGACTGGTGATTAGGTGCTCGGTTGTCTCTCAGCTGTGAAACACTGATTTAATTGTTTGTTTTAGTTTTACCGCTAGCTTTGTATCCTTGTTGGCCGCCTTGACTCCTAAGCTACGAGCGCAGCCTTAAAGCACCCGAATCTTACCGCTTCTTTTGTCCCTGAGGAAGTGGCGAGGTGCTACGTTAATGCCAGCAATACCAACCCCAAAGTATAGCTGCTCTGATTTTTTGCTATTAACTTGGTTGGGGTGTGTGTGACAACCTTCGTCCCAAGAGTTGTGATTTACAGACCCTTCATATAAGCTGGAGAGAAGGCTGTTGCTCGACACTGATAGTTGTATCACTGATAGTCACTGAGGTCGCTTGGTGGGGAAGCATTGGGTGGTGGCCTGAGTAGACCGGGATGGAAATTGTCCTGAAGGAGAGGTTGGGGTAGAGTTGACCTGAAGTTAATTCTGTGCTGATGCCAATTACTCGATGATGCATACAAGTGGTGGTTTTCATTTCGTCTACTCAATCATTGCCTTGTAGTGTTGTAGCGTCGTCATCCACTTAGTTGGGTGAACTGTCATTTGGCATCATCCGAATCGAGGAGACTATCCATCTCCGCCGACATTGGCGACTGACATTAATTTTGTTGAATGGTCAGAGCTTCAAGTAGTTATCGGAGGCATTGTATAGTGGCTTCAGTCCAAAAAACTCAAACACGGCGGCAACACTTGCCACTTGCGAAGCTTGATTATGGAGTTTCATGGGTGCCGCAGTTCTCCTTTCTT